CAAATCTTTCTCATGTGTATGCCTACTAAAGGTTAGCACATGCATGAATAATACCATGACCAACCAGGTGACTAAACAAAGATATATTTAAGTACATAATCTTGTTGTACCACTATTTTGCATGAGAATGTGTTCAATAACAAAATACTTTTATACTTTTTGAAATTTCACTGAAGCTACATCATTCCTGTTATAGAGATATTTTCACATTTGGATTTAATGAATGATTAAAATCCGCTCACCATTATCCTGCAAATTATACGTATACAAGTGCTCTTAAGTTAAATGAGTGAGATTTGATGAACAAAATATAAACAGATAAAAGTCTCCTATATCTAAATTTTGTTCTGACATAAAGCAGTGTCTGAATATTATATCACCTGATTTAACCTATAGTGATTGATACCAGTTTAATTTTATTAACTTTTATGGAAATACCCTTAGTTTAACCCAACATGAGATAAAACATCAGCCTGAGAGAGTTCTGAGAATGAATGGAAAATCAGTTAAGCTAATTGCTAGCAGTATTGTTTCTATGAAAACAGAAACAATTTGTGCCAATTAAAAAATAACTTGCTAACTTAACTTCAGCATATATATGAACAGGTATCTGCACATGCATTTTCTATTAATAGTCATGTGTACGACATACATATTTGAAAACTGCGCCTAAGTTCTTACCTAAAAATCATTTTCAACCCTGCCAATATACCTTAAACTTACAGAGGTATCAAGGAGTGCTTAATTTTATTTTTATTTTTTTCAGCAAAAGGAATGAGTTGGTGACAGCTTTTTTGCCTGACTTTGAGCTCCTTCCAGAAGACTGACTGGTTTTGTGTCGCATATCTATCAGTGCAGATCTGTGCAGACGCCTCAAAAACTTTAGGGTATCTAAATTAACATTAAGATGCATAGATTTAGATACCTGAATCATACCCAGAATACTCCCATCAATCTCCACAAATTCCCTAAGCTCATTTTTCAGTATAATACTGTATTCAGAAAAACAATTCTACACAAAGTTAAGTCCAAGTAAAAGTTTTGTCCTGATCAAGGATGTTTTTCCTGAGCATGAATTAATAAATGTATTAATGCAATTCTGCCTCACATGGATTTGGAATCCAACGGAAGGAGGAACTACTTATCATATTTTATATGGCTCTGGGGCTGAAAAGTCCTTGACATCTATACTACAATATAAATTACGGCAGCCCCTCCCAGCTTCTCTTAGGGAAGGGCTACCATAGAGGAAACATTTGGCACAAAGGACACACATTTCCTTAGCATACTAGCCACAACCCCAGTCAAGAAACTCTACTTTTCAGGGAGTTTAAGGCGAAATTCTCTGTAATCATCAACTGACTGCAACACAGGCATTCTTTTCCTGCCAAGTGACAAGTGTTTTGTTACTTACAATCTGGTACCATAAAGGGACCAAATCAGACACGGCTATGAGATAAAATTCTCTGAATTGTTAGAGGATGGAATCAGTATTCTGTATTCTAGTTCTGCTGCACACTCTGTGAGTGATTTTCAGCAAGCCAGTTAACCCTTCTTAGTTTATTATCTATAATTTGAATTTATATTATCTGTAAAGTAGATAATAACAAACCTTAAATCAATTGTTGTTGTTTACAACAATGTATTTCTTCCATTTAGGGATTACAAACTTATTTCCTAAGCTTTTTCATTCGGAGCACAAAATTTCTAACAAAATCTCAGCTGAAAGAACAGACGTTTGCCTTTAAAAATGTATTCACTGTTCTCAAAAATTAATGAGGTAAATTAGGCTTTGAAATATACAAATATAATGCTTTTCTTCAACTTCTACTAGCCATTTGTGTCATTTGTGATCCACTCTGAGTAAAATGAGTAGAGTTTTTAGGATAATTCCAATTTACGTCACTTAATATATTTAGGAAATTGGTGTTTTGATATAATTGGTTTTTGAGATTTTGACATCTGTACATGACCTACAAGTTCCTCTATATTTAATTGAGACCACTAAGAAATAAAGAAGTTTTAAATTCTTATTGTCTTTTATTGTTGTAAATTACATTTTGGATGTCCCAAATAACTTTACTTATTCCAGCATTAATGTGACATTTTGTCATCCGCAACAGCAAGATAAGAGTGACCTCAGAAAGTGTCTGGTGCCTGAAGTATCTGGAAGACAGAAAGTCCTAGTTTCTCCAAAACATGTGTATGTTCTTCCTCCTCTCCTCAGAGATTTTTTCATTAATGTCAAAGCCCAAAGGGACCCTCTAACTTTATCTCATCTTCTGTTTTATTCAGACTTTAAATTAATATATTATTCTTTCTGAAGGTTTAAAAATTTCAAACTATGCATCTCAGTACAAATGAGAAAAAGCTTGAAGGATATAGGTAAATTTTGGGTTTACTATTTACCTGGTGATATGTTCTTCATAAGATAAAAAGCTAACCAGATTAGACAGGATTGGGTATTGTGAGACCAACTGAAAGAAAATATTCAAAAATATTTTTAATAACAGTAATTTTATATGCTCTTCTTATACTGCTATTGGGCCACGCAAAATACACTAGTAAAGTAACTTGAATTGCACAGTCCACCTGAAATAGCTAAAATTCATATACAAAAATAAAAAAAAACTTTCTCTTCATTCTGAAAGGTAACTGTTGGCCTATATGTGATTTCTTTTGGTTTCAATTATGGATTAAAATAACTATTTCATGTAATGCTAGTAAAGTCCAAAATCTGATAAAACTCGGACAACAAATTTTCTCTCATAGAAAAAAAGGAATTAGGTAGAAAAATATAGAAAAAGCATCTCCTGAACACTCTGTGAGACATAAACACCTTCTAAACATGTAATAAATAAAATTAAAATTTGGAAGTATAGAACAGAAATTACATGGACTGAAAAAAACAAACTGTCTTCAGTTTTAACAATTTGTAAATATCTACTGGATGCAGACAGGCTAAAATCACTTAGAATGCCAGGCTGTTAAATACTGTACTGTATTACTCAAATGTCCACATCAATATTTCCTGTATATATAATCAAAGAAAATTAAAATGACACGTTCTCTTAAGATTAGTAACTAAATACTAAAATGTTCAGCGAACATAGTGAAGCGTTCACAGTGCTTGTGAAGTATTTAGTTAACTTAGAAGCACAATGCCAACTATTTCTGAAGTTTGATGATTCTCCATTATATTTTAATGCAAAATCCAAGCGGTAAGTTTTATATTTCAAAGTAGCCCAGTAGATCATTAATTACATAAACATTCTAAAACTTTCAAAAGCAAATTGTTAGAGGAGAATGTGCCTGAAGCTCCAGGGTAGGTATTTCTCTGAAACGCAGCTAGTTGGTTGAACCAGCAAATACCCCAAATAACTAGGAAACAAGGCAAAAAAGAAGATGTGCACTGAGAAAAACACTTACGTGGTACATAGACTGACATAGCAATAGTCAAACTGCTAATTATGGTTATCACCCAGGTTCATATTCATACGTACAATGCCACAGAGCTGTCTAAGTTGATAAATCAGATTCTATCCTTTTAAAGATGTTTCTCTTTACGCCTTGCCTATAATAGTACACTTCTTTACTTATTCAAAGCATGAATCCTCTTTTAGTCAGATCCTGTCCCTTTTGGCTCTGTACATCTCCTGGGAGTGCAGAATGATTCAGTGGTAACTTAGTCATTTGCGCACTGTACAAGTAGATTTCACTGAAGAGGGAAAAAATAAAGACTCTACTTATTAGTGGAACAGTTTGTGTTAAATAAAGATAATTAAAGCATCAACAACATACCCCCTTTGCGTTTAATTAGTTCCTCTTTCACTATAATTTGTTACTAAAGGTCAAATATGAGCCATTTTTAAAAAATAAATGTAAAATATGTATTATAATGCAAATTGAGAACAGAAAATTGAAACACACTCCTAGATACTTTGCAACAAAGTTTTAAGGTTAAATGTCTGGAAGCAGTCCTCAATGTAAATGCTTACATATAATGACAGTGTTCCCATGTTTTGTGTCTACATTGGACTGCTGCTACTGTAACACTGTTATATTTATTATGCTCTAGGACATTTGCTAAGCTGAAAGTTGTGAAGAACTTTGTTCCTGAGAGTTGCTTGTGATTATTAAAAAGTCTTTGATATGTGCCTATGTGAGTACACGCGTGTAGAAAAGTAAGAAAAGAGATGATGCTTTCCTGCATGGTTAAACTGATTGCCCCCTTAATGCGTGAATACAGAGTCCTGTTAAGGCCACTGTTACACATATATATTTATGAGGAAATTGACCTACTTAGTTTATAGATACAGTATTACGTATGTGATAACCAACCAATCAATATACTTCTGCAGCACAACATCCTAGTTAACGTTTGAAAGGTTTATAAACCAATTAACTGACTACCCTACAAAGCAGTTTTAAAAAAAATTTCTACACCTTTCACTTTTACAGAAATGAGACTTTGAAATGAAAGGAAATGAAACTAGTTATATTTGTCAGCACACTCTGGTGTCATAAGCATTTTTCTTTACTAAACAGTACTTTTCCAATTAGAAAAGGCATAGGGATAATTCATAAAGGATTACAGAATTGGCCAGGAAGCAGTACACCCCAAGCAAAGGGATGCTACCCAGAAACTCCTATACTGTTTCTTCTAATCGTAAGGGTGACATATATTTCTAAAACTATACATTCAAAAAAATAGCGTTTTAAGCAGTCAGTAATCATTCTTTGTAAAGCAGAGCAAATAAAAAAGAAACAGAAAGCAAACAGAAACAGGCTCAAAGGGCCTAGTCTTCAAACAGTGGCTATTAATGTGCAAATCTCATATTCACAATGGAAAGTTTCAGCGAAGGAAACCTGCTTAAATGACATAATTTTGCACTATGTAACCAAGTGGAGAAAATAGCATATATTAATTATAAAGTGACATTTGTAACTAATATAGGAAAACAAAAAAATGATTTACAAATTAAAACTATGATTTATAATTATGATTGAGGATGCAACCCTCCAAGCCGCAAAGTGATTCCTGTTACGCACTGAGCTTTCTTATCTTTGACAATCTTTGCTGAAAGTTGATAGTATGGAGGCCCCTGACAGGCAATGTTCAGCACCTTGAGGGTTTGGATTTTAAATCTGTGATCCAGAAAAATACTTGCTTAAACTCATCCCCATTCAGCAAATTACTTTTGTATACATCTAACTTTTGGCAAGTGTTTAAGACCTATTGAATACTAAGGAATCTAAACATTTGCTTACCATTAAATAGACATGTATGTAAGAGCTTTACTGAACAGAATTGCTAAATTGGAGACTAAAAGAACATTTCAGAGAGTGGTAGCATGCAAAAAAAAAAAAAAACAAGAGCAGCTTTCAAAATGAAAGGCAGATTGAAAAAGTGAAGGTGAAACGTCAAGTCTATTGAATACACAACTTAGTTTTAATCTTTATATTTAAACACTTAATTCAGGAAGGAGGAGCGTTACAAATTGTTTTTAGTTTTCTCCATTTATGTTCTCCTATATAGTACTGAATCAAACAAAATGCACTTGAGAACTCATGTGAGGTGTTCAAAAAGGAAACGTCACGTAATCAAAATGAAAACAACTTGTACTCACTTGGGCACACCAATCAGTCATGTAAGAAGAGACTTTATTTCCTGGCGGTGATATTGCGGCTATACAAAAGTATCAATTACCGATTCTAATTACATTAATGGAAAATGAGTATCACTTCTCATCTATAGTACTTAGAACATATACTTCCTGCTCTGCCTACTTGCTTGTTTTAAAACTTCATACACCTTCTAATGTCTCCTTAGAACAAAGGCAGGAATCCTTAGCCAAAGCAGGCATACAAGGTTCAGCTACTCTCTCTATAACGTGCATGCTATTTTGCCATTTGTTCTATTTCACATGTACAGCTGAACTATGAAACTATCTGCTATAATACCAAATCATAATAGCTTATTTATAACTGCTTCATATTTCTCTATAAACAACATGCTGAACAAGAGTTCCACCCGGTTTGGGTGTTAAAAATATTAATATTTTTGCCTAATAAATTGACAAATGCTCCCCTGTCAATGCTTGAGACATGGAAAGTCTATGTATTACTTATGAAAATATGTCTTAATGCCTACAGCATTATAGAAAAGCATGAACAAAACTATATAAATGTCACTCAGCAGCAAGTTGGCAAGTACCTGTACGAAAACTTAACAGAAATGTTGTGCCTAATTCTCTCTTCAGTAAAGGCTTTTATTTAGCATTACCCTTACTGTTTTCTGAAAACTTTCCTTAACTTATGCGTATGCTTTACAGGTGCACAAGAACTTTCAACATACTCAAAAATAAAAAGACAGGGAATTAGAATATCAGCTATAAACTATTCAGCTAAATTAACCTTCATAGCAAATTAGACATCTAGCACAGAAAAAAACCTGTCAGGCACTGAGAATCTGGATTCGTACCGAGCTAAATAAATAATGGAGCAATTGAGAATGTATTTCTTTCAGTTTGACTATTGCAAGTAAACGTGCAGCAAAGCCATTTTCTTCTACTAAAAAATATTTTAAAAGATTATTTGTATATCAAAAATATGTCCTCACAGAATATGTTCAGTAATTCAAAAATATATATATTTTTGGAATATAATTTCAAAGGGGGTTTTTATCAAGCAAAATAATCATTTGTGTAGTGTAATCCTTTACCATTCCTACATTTACCATTCAAGTCTTTTTCTCCACCGAAAATAAACTACACTTTTGACAGGTTTTAATTCTTATGTTTAGATTAATCACCTCAGCAAGAAAGATACAGTATCTGGCTCACATAGCTTCCACTTCTACTTTGTCATTACACCGTTCACTAAAAAGTCATAATCTGTCTTGTATGTGCTTAGTAAAACTTACCAGATGTAAGCTTGGAAACTTTCTTAGTACTTCATATTTTATATAGTCTATATTTTCAAACTGAAATTGCAATGTTCTCTCCAGGAGAGAGCTAATGAAATGTATCACCCAGAAACTACTGTGTCAAATGTTCTATAAAACATCTGCACGACTTGTAAAACAACATACACAAAAATACGGGCAGATATTACATCAATCACACATTTCTGGCAATCTGGAGGACTGAGTGGCTCATACAATGCATTTCCTTTTGCAGTATTTTAAGTATTTCTGAGCAGAATGCAAATACTGGTTACACACTGTAAAACTTCAAATGTAGTAGCCTAGCAGACGTGTCAAAGTATAAAAATGTGATAGTGTACCATATCTGCATGTTAATAAGTTGAAAAGAAAGCCAACTAGTTGTTAAACTAGTCTGATTTTCCCTGTTCCAGACTTGGCTCCGTATTTGCATGAATCAGCCTTCATTTCTCTCTAGATTCTTGCGTAACATGCACTGTAGCTGAGAAAACTCAGAATATGTATCTTACATGGAAAGATATAATGGAAATCACTAATTGTTTATCGTTTATCTCATTTTACAATCACTCAAATATTATTCCAAGAAAAATTATCTCTGTTCAGGCTACATATGTGTCTTATAAATTAAACAAAACTGAGCCTTTCACTGGGGCCTGATTCTCCACTGTGGCATTCCTATTTCATTTCAGGGATGGTAAAGAAGTCTGTCTCATAGCGGTTTTAGGCTGTCAGAGCTTCACTGAACCGATCTCAGTCAGCAGAGCCAAGATCAGAGCCAGTCACTTGTAGCACTCTTAAACGAAGAAACACCTCATTCTGAGAGGTTTCACTGAGCTCAGCAGAACTACAGACAGCTATACAGGAGCTGGGCTCCTTCGTTTGAATTAATCAATTTGTAATATACATGGAAAAAAAAACAAAACCAATGAAAATATACTAGGGTCTGATTCTAAGCTCACTTGCACTTATGTGTATTCAGAGCCACTGCTGAACTCAGTGAAATTCCAATGGTGTAAATTAGATCACAGATAGGCTCCTAGACGACTAAAGGATTTTGTTCTTAATGAACGACCTGATAATTAGAGTCATTAACGTTTCAACGACTGCACATTCACTCACTCGCGCACAGACACAGCCCTCCGAGGCGTGCGTAACCCCCTTTCCCCACAGCGCCCGGCCGCCTAGGTGGAAGTTTCCCCGCCGTGAGAGCTCGCTCCCCCTGCACCTCGGGGCGGCTCAGCCTCAGCCTGGCGGCGGGCGAAGGCCCCTAGGGCTGCAAGGGGACCGGCACGAGCGGGCTCTAAAGGCGCGGCCCGGGAGGTGGGCCCGAGGGAGGTCTCTTTCCTTCTGACTGCTGCCATCAGCCTTTTCTCGCCTTAAATGGGCCCTAATGGAGGCTGAGAGCTGGCACAGGGTGCTCAGCGCCGCCTGAACGGCCTGCGCGCTGATAAGGGCATTTCAGGCTCCCCGCGCCGCTCGCTGTCT